AACCTTTAAACATATATATACTATTTAACGCAATGAGACCCGAAATGTGTTTATACAATAAATTACAAGTGAGATGGTTCAGTGGGTTTCTGTGTTTAATAAAATACATTAACGATAGTCCAAAACAGTATGCAACAGGTTTGTGAGGATATGAGTAATTAGCACGTACTGACTATGTGAAAATATTACCATGGTTGCAACAGCGTTATGATTTAAGTGCTTACAGCGCAAGAATGTGACAAACGTTGGCAGGAGTGCCTTAGCAATAAGAGACAAGAATTGCTTGGTAGAGTACCTGTGAGCAATGAAAATATTTAACAAAACTGTTATGTTAACAACACGATGTAATTTCATAAAAATCCATAATAACATTAATGTATTAACAATGCAAGAGCCAAGGATTTGTGTTANCCAAAACAGTATGCAACAGGTTTGTGAGGATATGAGTAATTAGCACGTACTGACTATGTGAAAATATTACCATGGTTGCAACAGCGTTATGATTTAAGTGCTTACAGCGCAAGAATGTGACAAACGTTGGCAGGAGTGCCTTAGCAATAAGAGACAAGAATTGCTTGGTAGAGTACCTGTGAGCAATGAAAATATTTAACAAAACTGTTATGTTAACAACACGATGTAATTTCATAAAAATCCATAATAACATTAATGTATTAACAATGCAAGAGCCAAGGATTTGTGTTATTATCATTACAACCTATGCAAGTGAATTTGCAAAGGAAGATTAAGCGAGAAGGAAATAATAATGGAATGACAACGGCGATGTCTAAGGCGTCGTCGGAAGCCAAATGACAATGCTAAGGAGCGTGGAGACCTCCAAGCGAGTGGTGTTGGTTGTAGGCTCAAGGCATCTGGGTCACGGGCTCTATTCCCCAAGCAATGAGGCGTGCCCGGTAGCATGCCTGATGGTGGGCTCGATGGCTACAAGATGCTGTGTCTAGTGGAGTGCCCGATGGCTAGAATGGGATCTGGGTATAGTACACGCCCGCGGGCGTTGTGGCAAATGCAGTCATTATGGACTTATATAATGTGTTCGTTAGGTGGATAGAGAATTCTCTATCTGACAGAGGAATTCTCTATATGTTGACCATGTAAGTCTTGTTCATTTTACAATCGCGGCTTTAAAACCATTGGTTTTATGAACGGAAAAGAAATGTGGTAGGTCTCCTCTATGGAATTAGTCAGCAATGGAAACATTGCTTTTCCTTGCTTATTGCTGTGTGTGTCATAGCCTTTTGTAAATTATCCCGCGAGCTGTTTCTCGTATAAAGCTACACTCCACTTTTCAGTTATTTTATTGAGGAACAGGTGGAAACGGAAATGGCGAGGTGATTGAGAAGCTGGTTACCGACAAAAATCAAGGCAACTCGGGTTAGTTGCGTTTTCTTCAAATCTGTACTTTATCTCACATAACAACTTTTTATCTACCGTTCACCATTCTTTTCAAGATAGAATATTATTTGTAATACAACCGCAATGTTGCTGAGATATTTGCAAAAGTTTTTATCACAGGCCAGATCAAACCACCATTACCTTTTTCGGTGGCTCACGAGTTAAGCAAGGCAGGAACTTGCCTTTTTCTTAGTCTTTTTTTTATCCTAACGGTACCATCATTTTCCAAGATCGACTTTCTATTAACCTCGGCATTGGATTATGAATTCGTCGTTTTCTTTCCCAGCAGTCGCGAGGTTGTTAAGCAGCATACATTTACTTCCATACAATAAGACACATACAACACAATCGTAGCTGATGCTTCAGCAGAATCGCCTACTTCATAGCTGGTTTCTTCGCCTGTCCTCCACCGAGAAAGAACAGTCGCTCGGAGTCAGAGTCAGCGACTCACCATTAGTAATCATCCGCCAACGAGAACGATCTGTAGAGCGGAAATCGGCACTTAACCCAATTAAGTAGAGACTGTAGTCGGAATAACATTGTATCACTGTAAGTTTGGGATTTCTTCTGTTTCGACGACAGAAACTTCCAACCCAACGCCCTGCATTGGAGCGTTCCAAAACTTATGCTGCACTCACTGCCCTACTTGGCCAAAATTAGTATAATGTTATATAATATGCTGAAGTGTATTTATTGTAAATTTCTTACATGAGAAGATTCATTTTCCAATTCGAAACTATGTTTCGCGCTTTTTTTCGCTCTCTCCGGTTACTTATCTGCTTTCTTAAACAAACTGTGTGACCTCGGGATTCCAGGAAACCACAATGGCTTAACCAGCAACTCTTCGAAAATAAAGATTATGCTGGGTTTCGCACAACCAGTGAAAACGGGCCATTCAAGTGTCAAGTGTCAATTTTCTAGTCGTCAATATGAGGTCAAATGATTGGTTGTAGGCTGCGACAGTGTTTGTATGTGTGGTAATAGTGTATCTCTGTGAATAATGTATAGAGACGAGGTTGTTATCACAGAATTTATTAGGACACAATAGCTGACGTTTAGGCGGTTTCGTCTTCTTCAGAGCCGTTTATTTGTTGCAAGTATTTCAGTTAGATGATGGATAGCAGCCGCGCAAAGTAATACGTGGGCGATAACGCCGTGTCTGTAATATATGTCTGCTTATTGAAGAAAAACATCGAATTATCAATCACTGCCGAGGTTAACAGAAAGTCGGTCTTGGGAATGTACAGAAAGTTTAATGAATACTTCATTGACCCACCTTCCATGACTTTTTAGACTTCGCTGTGCTATCGGTTGTAGGTTATTCCTACGCGTCAGATCGTTGACAACGCGTTAAATTCCATGCATTCATTGTCTATAGTTGTCTCGTTGATCAATAGAGTTCGAAGTTCTCACGCCAGAGTTCAGCTAAGAGTAAACGAATGGTATGGTATGATCTTAAAAGCCAAAAGCACCAGAAATAGAAGATAGTTTAAATGTGTTATTTTTTTGCTCTCTTAAGAATCTATAGAGAAGCTCTACTGCGCTACGCATATGAAAACGGTTTACTGGTGCACTCTTAAATTATTTCATAGTTATTAGTACAAATCTCTTAACGGTTTACCGCCTCATCGTGGCAGTGAGAATGTTCCTAGGTGTCGAACTGCGATTTACAACGGGGGACTCATTCCCGGTAAGGTCTCCCAGGCTAAGAAAGAGTCCGGCGTTTCCACCAGGAAGCCTAGCTAAGAGTAAGCCAGTACCAGAATCCACCACAGTCCTGATATCAAAGTCGCATAGTGGCAAATCTCCCTCTGATCCACAAGGGCTGCGATTGTTTGTCGTGGTGACGACCTGGTGCAGAGTTTGATCAGACTGTACTCGGGATTTCATGAAACCACCATGGCTTAACCAGCAAATCTCCGAAAAATGGTGGTTATGCTGGGGCCTGCACAACTAGTGATAACGGGCCGTTCAAGTATCAAGTATCAAGTAAGTATTGGTGCAAACAGTGACACATGTAGTAGTCTACACTAATAGACTCCAACGAACAATGTTAAGGGGCATGGGTCCACTTGGTCTGCAATACCAGTTAAGACCTTCATTCTTCTGTAACCGTAAGGTTTCTCTTTAGACGTTCCCATTGAGCCAGTATTGGCAAGGAAGTTATTAGATATCACCTTGTAGAAGGTATAATCTTTTCTGCAAAACTCCTGCAAGTTTATTTGGAATGCTCGTTTCGTCAATTTCGTCATAGCTTGATGTCATAACTTAACTATCCGGTCCCCACATTGTTCCAACAAATGCGCATTCACTATCGAGCTGTGATTGAATGTGTAAAAATTCCACTGGATATCATTCCATCGCACTTTCCTACGAGCAATTCCTACACTTCTTAAATAGGCGGTTCTTCTTGGTTTCGGCTCTCCCAACGATATTTCACGGCTTTATTTTCTTTCATTTCCTAGCTAACCTCACTAGTGCTACGCCGCCAGAGATAAGTGTATTTGCATCCGGCACCGAAGAACCAACGAAATTTATGAATGTTCACTTAATAATCTTTTCTTAGGGCTTCCATCTAATAAAAGTTAGTTGAAAAATTTTATTTGCATGAGAATGTGATTTTATAAAATAGATATCAAATACGTATAAATGGCGAATGCAACTCGTAGTAGCTATTGAATGTGCGCGAACCATTCGGCAGCAGTTCGATTGCAATCTTCATCAATCAGCTAAACAGTAAAAATCAAACAAAGCACTTGTCGCCTATTTCAAATTAATAGCTGGTGAACGAATAATAATTAAGTATAAGTGCTAAACCTACTCTAAAGAAATAGTTGTTTTTCAGTGGTTGTATAGCTATTTTTGGAAAAAATAGGAGACAAATTTAGCGCTTAGCCAAAGTGAGCATAAACTCGGCACACGAAAAGTAACCGCGACAAGGGAGAAAAGATTTTTTGATTGGGAATTCCATAGTGTTCAGAAAAATGTTGTAAATTCTACTCCATAACCCATGAAAACCAGAACTGGTATCCATAAACGTTGTAAATCTAGCTTATTTTTTTATTAGTATTTTATTTTATTTGATCCGTCTTCACGTCTACTGTGCGGACCCCAGCACTTCTCACATCCATTTCGTTTCCTCGCATCCATCGTCCACGAAGGTCTTCCAGGTTTTTAAGTGTGGATTCGGTTGATGTTTGAAAATTTTTATTTCACCTTGAATGTCGTAGAATACTGGTCGAGCAATTCTCCCTCGGGTCCTGAAATAGCCAGGTTGGAGCGTTCCCAACTGGACTGCAGAGAGTGACTTTTCGCCAGAGAAGTCCGGTACTAATTTCGTCACCCCGGAGGGATGAGAGGCTTTGTTGGTCTGGAGCAGAATCGGACTAGCACCATGCTCATGATGATGGACATCATTCCCACTTTGTTAAATATAGTTTATATCGGATTAATGTACATCCTTCCGAAAAGTGAACAATTTTGTTGCCTCTTACATGCAGCTGCCATTCTTATACTTATGTATACATCAAGCGTACAGATTCTGCAGAAACATAGTCGTAATACAATTTTATATACAAAATATGGTATAATTACACCAAAATATATACCTGTGTGTGAATATTAGGATAAACAAGAAAATAGAACAAGCAGAAGAGTACGAATCCAAAGAAGAATGACATCTGAAACAGAAACGTTCTGGAAAATGTAATGAACAACAGAAAATAGTACCCAGGCAGGCACAGTCCGTCTCCTGAGCATGGAGGAGATGATTTGGTGTAATAAGAGCCTCAAGGACATCTCGCTGTGTTCTTGGTGATATTTGCGACTTTGTTAATAAAAAAATAAAAAATTAAGCATTCGGCGTTGATCAACCCCTGAGATATGTCACTCGAGGAAAACCATCGCGTTCTACTGCACGAGGTCGCTACTATTTATCAACTTTCGTAATGAATATATGAGGAGCCTTCAAGCAATGAGGTGGAAGAAATATGGGGGCTCCGGAAAACCAGAAGGATTTCAATGCCTTTTTTACTACAATTAATAAAATTTTGTTTTAGCAGAGACAGTTTGCTTTAAGATAGAAGTCTTAATAATATCACATCGTTTGATCCTTATGGGGATTTGTGGCGTAACTTTTAAGTGGATGGAGTCTCCCTTGTTGCACTTGTGCCACATCGGCTTATGCGTCCCATAGAGACGCACCATATTTACACATATTTCATAGAGTAATTGATGATTCCCACGATGTTTGGGGCAAAAGACACCAAATATGCGATTCAGAAGAACAAGGAGGATATCTGTGTGTCTGTTCAAGTGGGTAGCTCAACAAATTGCCCATCAGCACGTTGTAGCACTGCGAAACCTACCGGACTTGCACTAATTTGCACCCTCTTAATGAAACAGGTAAGGCATGAGATATAACACCAAATGTCTGGTGCATTCTGTACTACGCGAGCGAGCACAGACGACTGGTAGTTCTTAAGGGCAGCTGAGACGACTGAAGGATTTAATACTGCCAGACCAAATTCTTTGATACACAAATGCTTTTATTTATCTAACATGACCAGCCTTCTCATCAACTGCGCGGGTTCCAGGACTTCTTGCAGTAGTCTCGTTTTCTCTGAGCTATCATCCACAAAGTTCCACAACTTCTTGCGTGTGGGTTCGGCCGCTGCTTGAGGAATTTCTTCTTTGCGAATGTCATTGAATGCTGGTCGATACGATAGTCCCTCGAGCTCTGGTACAGCCGTGTTAGAGCTTACCCACGTGGATTGGAGAGAGTGAGGTGTTCTCAGTCTAGTTCGGTGCATCGTTAAGAGATAGATCAGTACCGAACGCTTTGTCGTATACTTGGTCACCTGTGATATCCAATGGAATCGATGCATGAATTCAGGCGTGAACTCAACACCTTTTGATTTTGAATTAATAGATATTGTAGATTCCACTTTATCGATGGGTGCAGCACTGTAAAGACCGGCAGTTTGAGGCAGTGGACTCCTGAAAATAGCGAAACTCTGTACTAATTTCAGGTGGAATAACAACATTTCAAACGTTTTGCGAAGAAGTAATCTGCATATTTGGAGAATACATGCACTTAGCGCACTGAAATTTGTAGACAAACCATTTCTAAAACAGAATAACAACGCTAAACGCTTTCGGCGTTGATCAATCCTTGAGGGATGCGCCATGCATTCGACTTCATTAGGCATCGTTTGGAAGTGACTGAATGTATATCTGGCCTTTAGAATGACTCGCGGTGACCTATCAATTTATCGAGCCAGTGCTGCTATCCTTCCACACAAGTCTGGTACCAATTTTCGGACCCTGGAAGGATAGAGGGCTTGATGGGCCATGGGCGCGGAGACCGATTTCACGAGTGTGTTGCAGGGCGCCTCGGACCACTGCGCTACAAGCACCTTTACATGCGAATAACACAGCATACACTGATCAATATACATTACTTCATTGGTAAGCTAACACGAGGTTGTTACCACATACTTATTCGGTTGACGTTTGGAAGTATTCGTCAACATGAGAGCTGATGATCCGAGTCGATGCTCCACAGTCGTTCATCTTCTCAAGGCGGTGTCCTCGTCGTCGCACCGAATCGAGTCGGAGTTTTTTTTAGTGCAGCGACGCTCGAATGAGCCAACCTCGCACGGCAGCACTATTTTATACAGGATCCTGGTTGCTGATAATGACTTGCCGTTGGCAATAACTTGTTTTCCAACCAGCAACACGTATGAGCTGATGCTATGGCAATGTGGCGAAGAGTTCGTTGGCCAACATGGTATTTGTATAACAAAGGTGAACTCACTTTCTCAAACAATGATGTTCAATGGCAAACGTTGATGTGCCCGTATCGGTTAAACCATTCGAAACACGAATCATGGGAACAAGGCCGGCCACAATGGAAGTGTCTCTTAAATAGTCTAATGATTCGTTAAGAACTAACCAACTGATGATACTAGTAAAAATACTGGACTGTTGGGTAACTGTGAAAAAAAGGGTACCGTGTCAGCCGCAGTCGCTGTCGCATGTATTTCACGATGGCTAGCTTTATCAGTGAAAAAAATACTATGCAGAAGCAGACTCCTAAAATGTTGCATTTCTTTCGAGTGAAGGTACTTCATATTCAGTTGTAGATAAATTTCTAGAGTACGATATAGTGTACTAAAATAATTTGCGAAAAAGAATAAAACCTTACCAAGATAGACGTCCATAGCTTTGATATAACTAACTCGTGGCATAACTTCGTTATAAGAAAACAGTAAAAACGTTATGGTTAGAATTATTGAAATCATGTCCTGAAGAAAAAATCACTCTTATGAAATCATTGTTAAGAAAATTCCGAGCACAGTTAGGACTACTACTTAACATTTACCTGAAAAGATGTCTCGTTCTCCATCCAGAGTGACACCCAAGAAGTAATCACGACAGCGGTGGAAGGAATGATCAGTTGTAGGAAGCAGAAGCCAGCTGAGCGGGAGAAAACGAAGCAAACGTACAAGCGAGAGTAGTCGCCTAAATGAGATCCACGTCAAAAGCTGCACGCGAATTTCTGTTTCATGGTGAAGGCTTAAAGTTCTCTGGAACTTAACAAAACCTGAAACAAAAGCTCAACACATTTACGTAAACTCCTAGTTTACGTTGGATGCAGCACAGAAGGATGCCTTATTTCAGACCGATTCATTCTGGTCCATATCCTTTATTGCAGGGGTGGCATTTCGTATAATCAGTAAACGTAACACTGGTAAAGGGATTTCTAGGATAAAAGTGGAGTTTATATAAAAACTTCTTTGCGGTAGGAGACAAGCTTCCTAGTACACATTAACAGCAGAATAAGAGGAACAATCCTTTCATTCCAACCTCTGAAAATCTGTAAAGTTGAGAACTAAACTACTAGTAAGCTGACCTTCACTTAACCTCAGTGTGAACAATCAGTACACTTCCTTGAATTCTTTCTTTGGTAAGCTTATACGAGGTTGATAAGCAATCCTTTCTCGGCTAACGCTTCGACATCTTCCTCTTCACCAGAGCTGATGATCCGAGTCGATGGCCCATAGTTGTTCGCCTTCTCGATATGCCGTCTTCATCTTCGTACCGAATCCGATCCTCTGCAAAGGAGCATCCCTCGAATGAGGCAATCTTACACGGCGACGCTCTCACTCAACCGAATGCTCCTCCGAAGAAGATCCGACTCGATACGAAGACGAAGACGCATATAGAGAAAACGAACAACTGTGAGCCGTCGAGTCGGTTCGTCCGCTCTGATGAAGACGAAGACGACGAAACGCTAGAAAAATAAAGATTGTTTACTAACCTCTTGAAAGCTTACCAAAGCAAGACTACATGTTAACTAGTTATACCGACTTTAAAGGAGAGTCGTGTTTTAAATATATATTTCCACGAATTGTTCAGCTTAGGAAGCTGTTTCACAAGTTTTATGCCGCTAACCTTTTAAACTCTTTTTCTTTTTCAAAGCCGATGATCCACAACGCAAGGGCGAACGACTGTAGATCATCGACTAGGGACCATATGCTGTGAGGAAGAGGAAGGCAACGAAGCTTTAGCCGAATGAAACTTGTATAACAATCATAAATCTGAACAATTCCCAAGTTAACGTTCTTAGCAGTGAATACTCACTCACAAAACACGGCCACTTCTATTTAATACAACAGGAACGAGAAGGGATAAGCAGCCCATAGAAAACATATCTATTGGTATAAATGAAAGAGAAAAATGGTTTACTTTAGTCTAACCCCCCAAGAAACAAATTATGCTTTCCAGATTAACGCAGAAAAAGCAAGAACGACGGTAGTTTCGTTCACTAGTAGACTCCAACTCAGTTGGGAAAAAAAAGCAAGCAAACAAGAGCCATAAAAACCAAGCCAAACGTTGTTCCTTCGTGGTTAACCAAACTGTGAAACGTGTCCAACTTTTGGACGCATATCATTCTAAACAGCATGCACCTGTTGCGTAGCTTTCCACTCGACTTGTCACAAAACTCTCTTTGATTTGAAAATCCGGCAGTCGTATTTTATGCAGTATCAGTGCCTCCATCTTACCGTGAGACCATACATATAGAACCTGATCAGCTGTATAACCGTCTATAAAAAAGGTGGTTGACATATCATTTTATTTTTTCATTTTTTATTTTATTTTATTTGTTCCGTCTTCACGTCTACTGTGCGGATTCTATCATTTCTCACATTCAATTCTTTTCCTAGCATGCGTCGTCCATGAAGGCCTTCCAAGTTTTTACGTGTAGCTTAGCTTGCTGCATGAGGATTTTCGTTTCATCTCGAATGTCATAGAATGCTGGTCGAGCAATTCTTCCTGGAGTCCTGAGATAGCCCGGTTGGAGAGTTTCCAACTGGATTATAGAGAGTGGTTTTTCCCAGACATGTCTGGTATCAATTTCCCGATCCCGGAGGGATGAGAGGCTTGGTTGGCCCGAAGCAGAATCGAACTAGCACCGTATTCGTGATGACATAGTGCTGAGTTGTCATTTTATTTCTAAATTTGGCTATTTTTAATAAAATAACCGAACGTACAACTTTCGATGCCCAGCTTGCACAATTGCGAGTCGAATGGAAACAATGTGAGATCCATTCCTAAAATCGAGAGCTTCTTTGAGGCTGGTGGAAACACATAGACAAGACTTTGATACCAAAGGATTAAGATGGATATTACCGCAAGTAACCACTAATGACACACGACGACTGTAGAGAATGCTACCATCATTTCGTAATCTAAAACTTTAAAACGTCACCTTAAATATAGTGCAAATTTGCTGCCATTGAGACCGAACTTTCATAGCATTAGTTATAGATGTATTGAACTGATCTATTAAATACTCGAAATCTAATGTGCAAGAGATAGACTTATACACACGATCAGTGATTAGTGCCATAGTAGGTCCGAAAGTTCAGAATGTGACGGTAAGGTCGTTTTCGAGTCATCTTACCTCAGTAGTGAACGATGTGTAATGCTCTGCTTTCGTGGATTCTTCGACGCAATCGCGTTCGGCACAAAGGTATCAGGATGCCAGAGAAAATTTGAATAGCTTTCGTGTAAGGAAATTTCTGTCTGAACCAATAGACATAAAAGTTTCAAAAATTAAATATAGTGCTTACTGTGCATGGACAACTACTATCACCTAATTTTATGAATTCACTGAACCTGAGTTTTCTACATGAACATCGTCTGGCCCATGTTTAACTCTCAAGCGCGGACACGACTTCTAGGATAGGAATCACATAATGCAATGTAATAGCCGCATTTAGCATTAAGTCAAATGTTACTGCTCAATATAAATTTGGTTGACTGAAATATGAACTATTGGAATCCGCAGATCTGTTTAACTAGAAATAATCTGCTTCGCGAAGTTCCGACTTCCTGAAGTTTATGGACAGCACTGTTCTAGCTTTTTTCGTTTTAAAAACCAGTTTTTCGACTGGACCACGTTGTAAATTTTTTCTCGTCGAAAGTCTTTTATCCGACTACAGTTAAACTCGATGCCTAAATTGGATAGCCCACACTCTATGTGCTATTATTACAAACTCTGCTATAAAATTCTGAACTATTGAGGACTATCGCGATCGAGAAATGATCTTCAGTTATCGGAAAATCGGCTTTTACTTGAAATATTTGAAGTAATAACTGAGCTCATGTTACACGTTTTTTTGGATAGAGCAGTAAAACCACCTTATTCTTGAACTTTGCTTTGCTGTACTTGAGTCTCGGATCTCTCCATGCTTCTCTGTAGAACATTTCGATGGAATAATCCTAAAGAAATACCATTTGAACAAAATTACCACAACTCTGTCTTCCATCTCGCCTATTCGACTACCGATTCGCTGTTTTTTTAGACTTTCTAATGTAGATAGAAAACATGAATATACTGGTTTATAAAACCTGACAAACTCACCATTGTGACTTCAGACACTGATCGAACATTGCTAACAACAACCGATACGTTCACGGAGACTGGACCTGAATAGCGAAAGGTAGACGAGGTATAGTACCAAAATCACGAACGAAACATGTGAAGTCCGCAATCATGACAGCGACACCACTTTTATGGATGTGTTAGTAACCAGAGTGCAGGTTAGGGATGGTACAAGCACCTAACGGAAACGTCTTGAGGAAGTGGTCACTTTTTAGTTACTGCCCAATCTTTTTTAATGGCAGGATATTAGGTAAAAAGTAAGCACAATCTCAACCTTTTTATTTACTGCCTATTCTTTTTAATGGCAAGGTATATTGCGAAATATAACTCGTATAATGCTGAGATATTTGCAAAACTCTGGATTGCAGGTGTCTGCGGTGGGGAACGAACGCGCTGTTGTCCTTTCCGGGGAGTAACGCGTTCACCACCACACCATGCGGGTTTTTCGTTTCGCCTGTCTCTCGGCTAGTTCTGTCGATCTTTTGCCATCAGCAATCACTCGTCGACGGGATTGATCTGGGAAGCCCAAATCGGCATTGAACCCAGTTAAGCTGAGGCTATAGTTATAATCACAATCTTAACCTTTTTATTTACCGCCTATTCTTTATCGTACAATGCTGAGATATTTGCAACACTCCGGACTTTAGATATTGCAAAAGGATCGATAGAACTAGCTGAAAGACAGGGGAAACGAAGGACTCGCATGGTGTGGTGGTGAACGCGCTACTCCACGGAAAGGAAAATAGCACGTTCATTTCCCACCGCAGCCGCCTGCGGTCCGGAGTTTTTGCAAAGATTTCAGCATTATACGAGTAACCACAATGATGTTGAGATATTTGCAGAGCCCCGGACCACTGGTATCTGCGGTGGGGAACGAACACTTTAGTTCCTTTTTCGGGGCTCAGCCTTAATACCACGTCAATAAAAAGGATAGTCAGAAAATAAAAGTGACTACATTGTGATTTGTACTATTGCTTCGGCTTAACTCGGTTCAGTGCCGATTTGTGCTTTCCAGATCAATCCCGTTGACGACGACGGTTGATAGCACCTACAAGTTAATAGCGCGGCTGAGAGAAAGGCGAAACGAAGGACTCACATTGTGTAGTGGCGAACACGTTAGCCTCGGGAAGAGGTAATAACGTTTTCTTTCCCAACAGCAGACAACAACGGTCCGGAATTTTGCAAATACGGCAGCATCAATATGGTTATATTTTCTTTGGAAGTCTCCAAACTTTCATCCATTCCCTCTTTGAATCGCATACATTAAGCAGTTGTGACTTTGGACTAGGCGTGCTATCTAGTGAACATTGACCAAGACGACTGCTATTCATCTTTGTCAATACAATTACAAGTATAGCTTACTTACCTCCGTTTTCGTCATCTGGACATTGTCGATGATCGTATTTGATTTTCCTCAAGAACTGCAGAAAATCTCGGGTTTCTCTAAATAAGGCGGATAAGCGATTAAGGTACAGCCATGGAAGAAACTTAAAGGACTATATACTTGATTACCCTTGTTCATAAATGCTGGCTTTATCGATCTCATTTCTATATTCATCATCTTCATCGAACTTGTCGATCTCTTCCCCATCATCTGAGTCGACAAGCTCCTGGTTTGATTTTTTCACCATTAGCGTCCCGCGAACAGCATTCACCTTCAGTTCAATTCATTTCAATTCAATACCACCTTTGCAAAAAGCTCTTATACTTCAATATATTTTATTTCTTCAGCATTTTTCACCCAACCTTTTAGGATACTTTGTTTAAATAGATTTTTTGCCATTTTCTTGCGCTCGCATCATGAATTGAACTCAATTCGTCGGTTCTTAAATGCGACATATTGATAATTCCTTTATTATTGACAACCTCTGTTTCATACTCTGTATTAGTAATTGGTTCAGATAGACGGACAAATATGCTCCAATTGCCACCCCTTGTAAACTGTAATGTGAAGGCTTTTTCTGGATAAGGACGAGTAGAATATCTGTGGTAAATAAGCTAAGGACATGGTGAAAACCATATTATAAGAAAAGTTAATGTGACGCAAGAAGCAATCGAAAAGGAAGTGCTTTAGAACCAAATGGTGTAATGTGTGTATTACGGAAACGTATTGAAATCTATACACATGCTCGCGATGTGCTAAAATAATCTGATAGCCTTTCGTTTTGGACTAGAACAATGCAGAACAGCGAAAGCTTTACTCCATCTACACCACCAAAAAATCGAAATTCAGTGATGGTCCAATGAGCTTACAAGAACATAGAACTGTTATGATATGGTGTTTATAAAGATAAACCCACCTCGTTATTTAAGCCGAAAAAAATAAGAACAAAAATCGTCGTCCTCATTACGGATAAGTTTTCTGAAATGAAAATAACTACGGTTGTTGACAAAAAAATTGAGTACAATCGAGAGAGATTAGCATCGTACTGATGTGAAATTTGGTTTAGTCTGTGTTATAAAATGTACGATAGCAATACTACAAAAATAGAGCGTAGAATCACGTGGTCCTTGTAAGGCACGTGAACATGACTTCAACATGACGATGTGGGTCTTTCGTTTCGCCTGCACCTCAGCTAGTTCTATCGGTCAGTGCCATCAGCAATCACCCGTCAACGGCATTGATCTGGGGAGCCCAAATCGGCATTGAACCTAGTTAGGTTGAGGCTATAGCATAATCACAATCTTAACCTTTTCATTTACTGCCTGTTTTTTAACGGCGGGGTATGTTGCGAAATAATATATTTAAATTCGAAAAATATTTCGCAACATACCNTCCCCCACCCCCCCCTGCCATTAAAAAGAATGGGCAGTAAACAAAAAGGTTAAGATCTTCGGAGTATGTTTTTCTAGCATGTATATATCTCAATGACGCTCAGAAAACTCTCGGTCACAAACATTAAAGTATTTCTGAATACAGAATAGTAGATAGAACTAACTGAGAGACAGGCAAAACCAATAACCCGTATGACGCAGTGGTGAACGCGTTACCCCCACGAAGGTAATAGTGCGTTCGTTCCACACCGAAAACACCTGCAGTCCGGATTTTCGCAAATATCTCAGCATCGTTGGGATTGTATTTCTCATTATACCCTGCTGTGAAAAATTGTGGTAGGCAGCAAATAAAAAGTAAAACATTATACAAGAAACTGTTCGCTGAGCGAGGTTCACTAACAAGAAATTTGGGTGCTAATCGACTACTATTCGAATTCTATTTGTTATAGTAAATGAATGTTATCGTAAATGGTATGCAGGTATAAAAAATACTGAAATAAAAATTCACAACACCCACGTCCGACTTTCTATTAACCTCGGTATTGATTGTATAATTCTTTCTAGTTTTGTTCAGCAAACACAAGGTGTTATTTTATTTCTTTATTTACGTACAAGTTGACGTTTCGGCGGATTTCGCCTTCCTCAGAGCCTGGAAAGGTCAAGCTGACAGCAATCTATTCGGCCAAACACCTCCATAACCAATCAGTAAAAGACACCTCGTGTTTGCTGAACAGAAGTAGAAAGAAAAATTCGTAAGTTGTAAGACACTTCCAAATGGTGACAGTAATGTTCTTGCATGATGAAGCATGGTAACGTGTAGTAAATAGCACGGTAAATGTCGTCCATACCAATGAAACAATAGAGCAAAGTCTTTTTTACAGTCCATTCATGTTCACGGCCCATGGCTCTCTATTAACAAAAAATTGTTGTGTATTTCCAAAATACCAGCTAGCCCATAGAAGTTGTAAATTAGGTATCGTCCAGTCCTCAACAAACCAGAGATTCGGCGCCATCGCAAAAGTGCTAGTGTTCATGATCGCCATTCACAAAAAGATAAATGTCGCAGCTTTTTTTTCTTCAGACTAATAATTCTAGAATATAAAGTGAATAAAGCATAAAATATGAGTCACATCATGGTCAAGAAGGATAAAAAGGGTAAAGAAGTGTTCCTTTCAAAAGATTTCAAACACTATAAAAACAGTGTGTGAGACATGCTGATGGTTGTCTGCGGTGGGGAACCAACGCGCTATTACCCTTTCTGGGACCAACGCTTTCACCACCACACGATGTGGGTCCTTCGTTTCGCCTGCACCTCAGCTAGTTCTATCGATCAGTGCCATCAGCAATCACCCGTCAACGGCATTGATCTGGGGAGCCCAAATCGGCATTGAACCTAGTTAGGTTGAGGTTGTAGCTCAAATAGAGTGGAAACAAAAAAGACAGCTGAGAGACAGGAGAAACGAATGACCCGCATGATGCGATGGTGAGCGTGTTAGCCCAAAGGGTAAAAGCGCGTTCGTTTCCCACCGCAGACGCCTGCGGTCCGGAGTTTCGCAAATGTGTCAGCATCGTTGTGGTTTGTTGTATATTTCCATTTGCAGAATAGAGCTTTTGCTGACCTGCGCTCAAAACAACATCTGTGTTCTACGAGCTGGGAGTCGACAATTGAGAAAAAAAGTTTGAGAAAATATTTTCTTTTACTTGTGCAAAAATCTCTGCGGCATTCTAGTTATATTTAAGAAAGTAGTTCTATGTGTAAAAATAAGTTGCTGGAAAAAAATGAGAGTTATAGGTGTCCTACCGGCCGCGTCTGCAAAACCATTACGACCTCTAATAGGTGCTGTTCGTTGCGAGAGTTTTAAATGGTTGAAAGCTGCTCATTTTACCATTTACTTAGTGGGTGTGATATTGGTCAATTCAGGTAAGCTACGCCCAGCCTATGATCGGTGTCGTTTACGCGTTTCTCACCAGTGCTTTCTGAAAACCACCTATGCCGAAATTTCTCTGCTTTCAAGGTGATATTCTCCATTATAGATCGAATTCGAGTTGTTATCTTGCGGTTGAAGAGAAGATTATGGATGAAAGACGACTGTAATTGTTAGACATCGGGCTGACATCAGACGACATTTTCATTTCTATTGCTCTAACAAGACTGATTTAACTTCTTTTGAAAACTGAGGACAAAGAGAATCTTGAAGCCTTTCTCGGTGATCAGCGAGAACGATGTTTTATGGAGTCAAACTACAAAGTAAATGACATGTGATGGCAAATGCCAAGCGTCACTTTCATTAGTTCGTCAATAGAATTGTGAACTAGTAAAGAAAGGTGGATAAATTACCCATGTGTTCGATCTAAACTGTTGAGCATGAAGCTAGCACGAAAAATCATACAATTTCCACAATGATGCTGAGATATTTCAAAGCTCCGAACCGCAGATTTCTGCGATGGGGATCGAACACGCTGTTACCCTCTTCTGGGGTTAACGGGTTCACCATCACACTATGCCTGTCCTCCAAATCAATTTTATCTCAGCTAGTACTCTATCTACCAGTGCCATCAGGAGTCATTCGTCAGCAGGATTGATCTGAGAAGCACAAATCGGCATTGAACCCACCATAGTCTAGGCATTCGAAGGACCTGCATGGTGTGGTCGTGAACGCGTTCGCCCAGAATGGGTAATGACGTGCTCGATCACCACCGCGCAGACCTGCGGTCCCGAGTTCCGTAAATATCTCAGCATCACTGTGGTTTAATTTCGTATAGAGTAACCAGCCGTGAAAAATTGTAAAAGGCAGTAAAAATGGTAGCAGGTTTGTGTGATTATGACCGGCTGTATAAATTCTCCAAGTAGGCCGACATAAACGAGACGAAAATACTAGCGAATATTCAGAATTAAGCATTCTTTCATTGATAAGCTAACACGAAGTTGGTAAAGAGGTTTGCCCGGCCAACGTTTCGACGTCTTCGTCATCCTCGGAGCAGATGATCCCAATCGATGGCCCACACTCGTTCATACGAGCGATGTGGTGGGGTCTTTGTCATTGTATCGAGTTAAATCTTCTGCAGTGGAAATCTAATGAAGCAGCATCAGTCGGCAATGCCTTTTTATACATGACATTTATTGCTGAATTAGCTAGTACATAACGAATTAATATTTCAAAATCGACTTTCTGCCAAGCTCGGCATGACTTATCAGCACATTGAGAAGGCAATCAACGGTAGAGCATCGATTCGGATCATCGGCTCTGAGCAAGTCGAAGACGTAGAAACGCTATCCAAATAAACCTCCTTATCAACCTCGTGTTAGGTTGTCAATGATGGAATACGTATTAGTCAGTCATGCCAAGGTTAAAGGAAGGTCTGTTTTTGAAACATTCAGAATCATTTACTTTTTTTGTTCTCTGCCTTGTATAATTTTTATGGAAGGGTATTAAGCGATATACAGTCACAATATTTCTGAGAAAACTCCGGACCGCAGGTGTTTTCGGTGGGGAACGAACGCACTATTACCCTTTTCGGGAGTTAACGCGTTCACCACCGCGCCATGTGGGTTATTGGTTTTGCCTGTCTCTCGGTTAGTTCTATCTACTATTCTGTATTCAGAAATACTTTAATGTTTGTGACCGAGAGTTTTCTGAGCGTCATCGAGATACATACATGCTAAAAAAACATACTCTGAAGATCTTAACATTTTTGTTTACTGCCTATTCTTTTTAATGGCAGGATATATTGCGAAATATTTTTCGAATTTAAATATATTATTTCGCAACATATCCCGGCGTTGAAAAGAACGGGCAAAAAATAAAAAGGTTAAGATTGTGATTATACTAAATCCTCAACTTAACTAGGTTCAATG